CGGCGGCCAGCGGAGAGGGGTGGGCAACAGGGACCGGGCCGGGGGACTCCGCTGTGCTGGTTTGTTGGGAAGCTGGAGAGGGGTAGGCGGAAAACACGAGCGCTGCCGCATAAACCCTCATCGCCTGTCCCGGTTCAAGCCTCGTGTCCCCTTTCAGAGCCCACGGACTTGCCCGAAGGGCTCCGGCCGCTTCGCAACTCGTGAACTTCTCGGGGAAGTGTCTGTTCCATGTGGGTAATTCCCACATACCGAGTGCAGGGCGGTGGTCTTGCTGTGGCTGTTGTGCTGTGGAGGATGTCAAGGGTTAAAAAGCTGCAACCTGGGCAAGTTCAAGCATCTGTATTTGCTGTGGGTGAAAGGAGTTTCCTCTCATCCCCTTCTGGAGATGTTGGTATTTGCGCTGACAGTGAAATATAAGAATTACTGGTCAGACTTTTCCCCACCATCACTGAGTGTAATGGTAAAAATGGTATTAAGGCTTAAAAGGCATAACCTTGTGAATTATAAAGACCTGAGACCTGCAGTGCTAAAAGCTTTAGCTTTGTAGGAAGTTTGGCTATGCTGTACAAGGCTGGAGTTGGTCAGTTATACTAATAGGTCACAGTGTCTGGATGTCCCTTGCAAAGTTTAGTTTGATTTCTCTACAATTCCTTCAGGGGCTGGTGTTTTTTAGCCTTAGTTTCAGCCTAGGAATACTTTTGGTAAGAAGAAAATGCTACATCTGATGAGACTCTTGTTTGTGTGCTATAAAAAGTGTTCAAGAAGAAAAGGGGGAACAAAACAAGCAGTTTGAAATAATTATTCATTTTTAAAGTGTTTTTTAACAAACTCATCACACAGTTAATGTTCCTGTTTCTCTTGATGACATGTGTGAAAAGAGATTCTTTCTAAAGATGATGTACATTTATGTTTTATGTCATTCTTTTATGTTTTTTCTCCAAAGGGAATGCCTAAAACCTGTCTTGTAACATCTGCTGACATTCACAAATCTGTTGTTTGTCAGCTGTTCTTGCCTTTGAAGGATATGAAATTCATTTATATCCTGATCTGTTCTAAAAATGGGTTCATCTGGTTGGTAAGAAAGCCTCCTCATGTCTCACGTTCATGGTGCCATTGCTCTGAGTACTTCTGAAGGGCAACTCCAAAACCAGCTAGATTGCCAGATATGCATAAGTGAACCAAGACTAAAGCAAATCCAGTTGTGTTTTCTGGAGGTAGATACTGGTTTGATTGGCAATGAGGCAGCTCATCAGGTTTCTCACCTGACAGTACCTCTTTCTGCGACAAAGGAAATGTACAATTTAAAATCATTAGATGGTTTATTTGTCAATGCAGCAGTTAGATTCCATTGTATAAAAGTAAAGATGTATGAAATGGAAGTTACAGCTGAAAAGGCAAAATCGAATTATAAAAACTTAATATTCTGAAATTATTTCTAAAGGAAGATAGTGCAAACTATTCTGTATACTTAGGTTAAAGGATAAAAAAGTTCCTAAAGTGTGCTTGAAAGCTGTTTCCTATGCAAAAGCTCAAGATGTGCCTGAGCTCCCAAGATGCAGTGGTTTGCTGAAACAAGATGCTTTCTGCATATAGCCTAGGTCAGTGATGGCCTGCATCACCACTGGTCCTAAGCATTATACCACTCACAGACAGACTTCATTTTTTCATGCTGCATTACAAAACACATAATCCTAAGCTTTCCACTAAACCCCTGTCCTGCCTCAACCTAGAGCAACACATACACATTACAGTCCTTCCTGTCAGCACTCAGGCAGTAATTTCTGCAGGAAATGTGTTTTCTGTTTAAGTCAGAGAATAATTTTAGATGCCCAGTTATGGTTAGGTAATTGGGTGTTACATGTAAGGAAGATGGAACAATAGCAAATATGGTGCTTTTAGTAATATGACTGAAATGGCCACAAAATAATTAAAATAATTGGAGAACTTGGAAACAGATGAAGATTTAGGACTCATGAACTAATTCACAGATATGTTGCAATTTGCATTTTTTTATATCTTTTTATAGGATAAGTGGTAGTGCGGAATTGATTCCCATTACAAATGTTAGGCATTTGACAGGTCTGCTAAAATACCAGGAAAATACGTTTATGCTTATATATCATCTCAGAACTGAGAACAATATGTATCAGAGATGTTCCAAGAGACAGTAAGTTAATTATATTAAAATATAGACCGTCAAAAAATTTAGTGTTTAGAAATGGATTGTAAGGTTATTTGCCCAGCTGTAATTGAAAGTTAATTTCCTTTTGATTATAACCTTTAATATTAACAGCAAGGCTTTTATGGAAAATGAACTGTTCAAAGCATACTGTCTGTTTTCTCATCTCAGTGAACCTTTTTTAGCAACCTCTTCTCTTCTACAAATAAGATACTCTCCTTTTCTCATAATGTAGTAAAATGCAGTCTCAGCAGTTTTGTGTCTGGTTGTGCACTTGGAAGTGCCACGATGCAGAATGATGAGCATGTGTGGCTCATTTGGCTCAGATCATTTGGGAAAGGCCTCAACCTGAGTTTTCTTAACACAGAATTGTAGTTATAGTGAACAAGTGAAAACACATAGATTCTGCAGAACTTTACACATTGTAAGCTGCATCATGCAAAAGCAGAAACTGGAGCACAGGGCTTTATTTATATTGGGGTTTTCATTATTGGATTAAGTGGTCAAAGACAGAGGGATGGAGAAGCAAGCAGAAGTCTACAGCAGGAGAGAGAAGAATGAAAAGAATAGGGGAAAGGCTAGTTGAATGCTGCCCTTTCTTGGTAGAACCCTCATTCTGCTGACCCTTGTGCGTGGAGCATGTATCTGTCCTCCGGGGAGTAGTGGTGCCAGCCCAGGGTCTCCAGACCAACAGAAACAAAGGAGACAGAGGCAGCATCAGCAGCTGCATCAGAAGGTTTTACACGGGAGCAAAAGTTTGAAGAGGGAGAGCCAAGCAGATGGGCCTCATCTTATTGCTCAAGTGTTTGTGGTCTAGTTTATAGTGAGATGCATGCACTGGTAGCCATGTCCAGCAGGAAACTAAATATGTCCACCCCTGGTTTCTGGCCCTGAGGCCAACTGGCATGTAAGGAGCTGCACCCATGCTATTGAACCTTGCAAAACAGGGTGGCTGCTGCCAAACTCCCACTGAGGAGCAGTGCCTCTGGTGATTCTTAGAATCTGGGGTTTGCTTGGTGGGGAGCTAGCCTGCCTGGGGCAAGACTGTGCTAGGACCTCCTGAACAGTGTAACATTGTCAGTGGTTCAGTGCCAATGCCTGGGAATAGGCCATGGCACGTTTCATTCCACAGGCAAAACATGTGCCTGCCCCCCATGTCTTTCTAGTAAAGGCATGAGTCCTGCTAAGGCAGTAAGCAGCTATACTGAGCTGTCTATTTAAGACTAAGTATTACTGAGGAGTGGGGACTTCTGTTTTTGTTTGGTAGTGTGTTTTGGTTTGTTTTTTAAATTAAACTTTTTTTTTTTTTTTTTTAATGGAATTTAGTTGAAAGGATCTTAATCTTCTAGTTAAAGTTGCAGATCTCAAGAAAAAGTCTCTTTCTGTTTTTCAAAAACGCTGTTACTCTGCACATTTGAATTAAAACCGTGACTTCATATTTGCCCCCCCTCCAGATTATCATCTGATTGGTTTTGCAGTTAGTTAACCTAGAGAAAAACCCAGGTAAGTGAGGGGGGGTGTTAGTTATTCAGAAGAGTTTATACTAGATGATAAGCAAGAACAGCAAGTGCTCAAAACTACCTGGTTGTTTTCTACAAAGGACTATTTTAATATTTCTAATTGCATCAAGCCCCCAGAAGTTACCATCCCATCTACATGTGCTTTTACCTTACCCCCTGTTTTTCTATACCAACTGTAAAACCCCTTCCAAGTACAGTTCAGATATGAGTCCTGTACATATTCTAACAGTCGGTGTTAGACTAAAGATTTAAACAACGCCTGGTTTGTTTTTCAGCAGAGGGTTTCTCTCAGTGCTAGTAGGGAAGAAAATTGCTTTGAAGTTGCTGAAGTAAGTACTTTGTCCCTCCTGGTTCTCTGCTTGTCCTGTGCTTCTATCAATGGGCTTGTATTGCTTGTATCTCCTGCAAGGAATGTGCTGAGTTAGTTGCTGAACAACATTTAAATGGAAGTCCACATTTAGCATGTGACCAGTGCTTGAGGCAATTAATCCTGTATTCATAACATATATTCTCTCTCCTCCTTCCCTCTTCAATCCCATCTAATGGGAAAGAGCCATAGGTCAGTAGGGCCTGGTTAAAGAGAAGGCTGCATTGCCTAGTGAACTACTGTTGCTCTGTGGAGGTGTTTCTTTCTCACCACTGACTGTGAAGGTCAAGCATACTCTTGACTCAGGAATCTTGGTGTAGTCTTACAGTTTCATGAGAAACAGCCAAGCTAATAATGCAGTAGGCAAGTGCTTCTATTAACTACTTTCGTGCATGCCCAGCACCTTTTCCCCAAGTAATTTATTTGTCAGTTATTTAATGAAGAATTTTGCTCATTAATTCTCTAACTGTCAGTCATTTGCAAGCGGTTCTTGTAAGAGTTTTTGAGCAAAATTAAATTTCCATTTGTTAGGCTTTACTGTATATATAAATCACATAATGCAGTTTGAGTTTGCTTACTGCTTACATGCAGTTCCCAGGCCTTCTAGTATTACTGGTTGTGCTTATGAGCACAGAATCTAATTTTGTAGGAGTCTTTAACATCTGCATATTTTCCAGTGGTTTTGTGGCTTAAGACAGTAATCTCATTGTCTTGAATACTTGCCAGAATATTTGTGAAAAAAAACGAACACAAAAAACCAAAACCCAAGAATATAGCTAATGGAAATTTATGTTGTTGGTTTCGTTAATATAAACTAATATTATTTATTGTTGCTTGAACTGTTTTTAATCCTAGAAACTGGCAACTTACTTGTAAAGGACAAAAGCCCCAACAGCAGCGCAGACTGCCAACAAGCCAAGGAAGATAAAGACACCTTCTGTTGTTCTTGATGATGATCCTAGAGTTCAGAAAGTAGTTTGATTAAAAGCCTCTCTTTTAACTGTGAGATAGATTTTCTAAAGAAAATGCCAATTTTACCTGATTGCTGTACAGGTTGAAGTACACTTAATACTTCTAACATGCGAAGCATTGGAAGTAAGTGACTTTGGCAGGAGGTGGTGCTTTCACATCCTAATTGGTTTAACTCTCAGTTCCACCAGAGTGTGAGTTGAGCTTTGCCAGTTTTCTCGTATGACCCATGCTCCTGAGAGACATGACTGCCCTTCCAGTATGGAACAGAGGGCCTTGCTGGCACTCAAAAGGCTAATTTGTTTTGTGCCAATTGCTACGCTAGGGAAACATTTACACTGAAAATATAAGAGATGCAGCTTTTTATAAGCTTCAATGTTAGAATCAGCTTCAGCTTTCTCTTGGGGATGGTGGCCAGGGAGAAATGGGATAAACAAGGAGTTTCCTAAATGTTACTGTTTTTTTGAACTGTGACATGCTAAAATGGCAGAGTGTGGCTGAGAGCTTGGTGGACTTACACTTGTTTGCCTTATCTGAGAGATCAGAGAGCTGAAGGCTCTGCTTTTTTAATGTGCTCATTCAGGGAAATTAACTTTTGGCTCTGCCTGTCACTGAGCTCTGCCTTCTGGTTTGCCATCAACCATTTCATTTATATCTACTTCTAATTCCACTGTATCTGATGGAAGAAACCAAATAATTACACTATTTATTTTTCTTTTAATGGTGTTAAATATCTTAATTTTCCAGCCTACAGGCTGTAACTTAATTATTGAGGTTTCTGACACTGGGACACATTCTTGGTCCACATATTGATACTAGTGTTTATGCAGTGAAGTAACTCAGAGGTGCATGCTTTATTACGCTTTCAGTTATTAATGTATAACTTATGCCTATGCAAATCGATAGATCAGTTCAGGGTTTACCATTTACTTCGTGCATGTGTTTCATTTATTTCTCAGTTTGTTGATACAATTGTCTGTGATGGCTTGACCTCATTCCTAGTTTATGCAATATTTTTTCTGAGACTGCAGGGATTTACCTTACTTTATGCATAAGGTAGGTGCTTGCACTAGTTTTCAAAGCAACACATACTAATGGGTTGGGTCTAAACCGTAGGACTGCAAACTATTCAATGGCGGTTTAAGCAAGTTAAGAACAGATGTTTTGTGCAATGTTTACAAAGCCAAGCCACAGTCCTGTCAAATTTCAAGGGTCAGATGTTTAGGCACCAAATACTCAGGCACAAAATTATGGGATTTTCCAAAACTGAGCAATACTTGCCTTCTCTTGAAATGAGTGGAAAATTGTGGCATGTGAGAAATATTTACATTAGATGGGCCCCTCCAGAAGGTGAATCAAAGCAGCAACCTCTCTTAGATCCTAATTCTGCTTTGATTATAGTGGAAGCCCCAAGTACAACTTAGCTTTGTCCTCTGGAGGAAACCTAGGAAGACCAGCCTCGTTGGGCTCAACTTAGTCTCTGTGGATATGGTTTTTAAAAATCCTACTGCATTCAGTGATACTGAAGGAGTTGTATAATTACTGTACTCATTGGATCATAAACAGAAATCAAACCAAGTTCTAACATCTGAAATTCCCATGGGGAAAGAATAATCCCTTTATCTTTGTGTGGACTCTCACACAAGCTGGCGCAGTCTCAGCTGAGGCTTCCCGGCATAATAAAAGCCCCATATAAATTCCTGTGGTCTTCCACCTTGCAGGGAGGTCACCACAGGGAGAAGTATTCACAGATGACCTGCAGCTGCTCTGTGTGGACTCACCTCCATTTACAGAAATCAGTGCACTGGCAAGGGCTTGACTTGTGTCATCCCCCAAGGTGATATTTATGCAGTATGTTCCAGGTTCCTCAAAAGCTCTCCTGATGGTGAGTAAGCACTCATCAGTGACTACGATGGGGTCACACACCACACTCTTGGACACCTGGCACGTGGGGTCAGAAACTACTGTGCAGACATCTGTGGGGAGACTGGGATGGGAAAAGAGAACACATTTCATCTATGGCATCCTATGTTAGTCCTGTTCATAGACACATTACACACATGCCCAGTTTTATCTTGGTGCCTGTTTTTTGAAATCAGTGGCACTACAGTGATTTAGGAGAGTTTTATTAATACATCATATAGATATATTTTATACATACCTATACACTTTATACATAGATACATGTGGATTTTATATAAAATGCATATATGCAACATAAAAAATTATCTGCTTGTTTTACATATCATTTAATATTTTATGGTGATCACAGAATTACCTGTCTTCAATCAGCTTATAAAATATGTTACCTGTAACACACATCGTTACAAAAGGAATGTGGATTCTTTTACGTAGTATAAAGTGCCAAAAATTAAATATTAATTTAAGAGAGGTTAATTGTTTTCCATGGCATTACCAAGATGATTCTTGTACTCCTCAGTCCTCTCAACTCTAACCCCCTTCCAGGAGCTAGGAATATTAGCACAATGATTTCCTATCCAAGAATTTGTTTGGACACACCCATTTACTCTTGGTGTCAAAAAATCATGGCCAAAAAGCAAGGCTTTCCTTCCAGTTTCAGTAGACTGCTTCCCATTTTACAGTAAGTGCTGAAATCTTGACTTGGCCAGGAAAATACAGAATTGTTTCTCCCCACAATCTAGTTCTCTTATTTTTACTGAGGCTTGACATTTGTTCTGAATCCTAAGAGCCTCGCAGTAACCTCTGTTGCCATAGTTTACAAATGAGACTTGCATTATCTTTAGTTCCAGTTGAGGAACTGACTTTTGCTCCTGCAGCTGCATCTAAGTGCAGACAGTTTTCCAGCACCTACTTATTTTTGAAGAGGGAAGCTTGACAGTTTCATTCACACACTTACCTCCCTTGGCAGGTAACAACAAAGTCAACCAGTGAGTTTTCAGCTTGACTTTCTGTCATCTGGATGCTTGTCATCTGAATAATATTTACCTCAAGGATTCCCTCTGGGAGAGAAAACAGATGTCGATGATAGGACACATGACAAGCTCTGGAGTCTGTGTGTACAGAACCTCAAGTGTTTGGCTGATGCTCAGTTCAGGTCTTGCTTTCCGTAACTGCCTCCCTCACTTAACACTCCTCTTGAAGGGTTTGAAAGCTGAGGATTTTTCTAGGGCTTTTCCTGTCAAGTTGTTCCTTTCTGCTCAATTTTTCCATTATTATTATTTACTTATTTTATCAAATCACTTCCCTGTCCCACCACTTCTGTGCATGCCAAGGTCAATCCAACCTCATGTGATCCCTCCCAGGCCAGGATGCTTCAGGTGTGGCAGGTTCAGAACCTGATGATATAGAAAGTAGTGATATGGTGTACATCCCCACCAGCCACTCTCCAGCCCAAGTGCCTGGAAACACCACAGGTAGCATGGGAGCAGCCATCAGCAGGCATCCAAACCCAGGTCCAGCTTCATGTGTCTGAAACCAAGGGGCCATAATTTCTGCCACTAGGTCCTGGCAGAGCATGTAAAGAAAACAAAGCCACTTAACTGTCTTTAATCTTTAAAAATGTCAGTTATGTTCAAGAGAAGGATCTTATTATGGGTCCCACATATTTGATAAAAGAGAGCTTAAATAAACATTATGTCCACCATGCATTTTTGTACATTACTAACCCTATTCCTCTGTTCAGATGTTGACCCACATCCTTACCTACGACAGAGATGCCAGTTCCATAGTATCCATTTCTGTAAATATGGCAACCTCCATCAGGATTATCTTCCATTGACATAACACTGGTAGAAGACTCTGAATTAGAAGATGCTGCAACCGTTACTGTTAAGTTGAGAGACAAAGAGTAGAATCACAGCTTCAGAATAACTTCTGCTTACAGGTACTCTGAACATGGCCATGTTGCAACTGCATTCACTACATAGGTCACTAGTGACTTTGGTTTGGAGCTGTGCAGTCGTGTATGTATCTGTATGGGATCATGGTAATAAGCCTTAAAGAGAAGACACATGCCCAGCTGCATAACCCTGGAGTGGCCTGGATAGCCTCACTCTAAAAGCCACTTTGCTAGTCACCCAAATGGGACTGCAAGGTTTGATATAATTAAACACTTCTTTAAAATCCCCTAGTCAATTAAAGAGTAAATCCAAAGGCCAATAAATGGTTTTAAATGGTCTCTTTCCACTGCTGTACATTACAGCTAGTGGGAAAATGAAGAGGGGAGTAGTGAAAATTATATATTTCCTTTCATTTTTCATTCTCATTCAACATTTTGGTAAAAGCACATATTAAAATTCTGAAATTGGAAAAATATAGCCACATTTACAATTTAATAGTAGTAGTATTATAACTAACCAGGCTGAAACTGCAGGCCTTTTGCAAACCATAAACCAATGCTGAACATAATGAAAGTTATTCTGAAATATGATAGTGCATAGATTTTAAGTGAAAAAGCCATTCTGGGTTAATGCCATGTGGAAATCCCATATTTTGGAATCAGATTTTTTTTTTTTTTTTTTCTATTTCAATCCAATCTCATTTAATTTTGGGTGGCAGTTAGGGCAAACCAGAAAGGAACCGGCTAGAAGAGTGTTCTAAAATACCTCTTTCTTACTTCAGATTTGCAAATTACCTCAGATGATGAGCCTGAGTAGGCAAGGCTAAAACTACTTGACCTGGTGTGGTAGAGGGTGTAAAACCAAATTTGTGTGTACTGCATGTCCAACTGAAGACCTCTGTATGGTGGTAGAGCTGGATGTGTAATGTGTTAAATGTGCAAGTCATGTGTACCATAGACTCACAGAAGAGTTTATGCTTAGTATTTGTCTCTAAACCACTTGAAGAGTGTTTGCAGAGCCTTGCAATTCTTTCGTGGGTGGCAGCAAAACTTTTAATGATACAGAAAAATATCAGAATTAGAGTCTTAGCATAGCTCTTAGTATCACTGCTGTTCAATAAACTCTTACCTGCTGAGGTGGGCAGTGGTGCAGTGGGTGTTACTGGTCTGCAAGGTACAGGTATGATGGCTTGGACAGTTACGTTCCAAGTGAAGTTTCCTTGCAGAGTATAGGTGTGAGATGTAGTGGGACTGCTGGCTACAAATAAGCCACTTCCATCTCCAAAGTTCCACTTGTAGGAGATGGCAGAATTATTAAGATAGTAGCTGGGATCATGGATCTTCACATCAAAAGTGATTGGTGAGTCTTTGATAAAAATGGAGTCCGAGATGTTGCGGTCATGTTTTTGGAACATACTCACAAATATTGGAATTTTGTCTGGAGGGGGAGAAAAAGAGAATAAGTAAAGCATGCATACCTGGCTGCAAACAAGAAATGGCTCCAAAGTCCCTGAACAGCAATGGTCAGAATGTGAGACATTAATATCTTTAACACCAGTTTCTACTTTAATTGTATTTACTGGTAGTGGAGTGAATGTCAATAGGGAAGTTACCCAGAAAATTATGGGAACAAATGAGAAATCACAGGCACCTGTGGGAGTGTGCATTTCTTCTCATAAATAGTTTTTAATTACAAAGCAGAAGTGTCACAACTGAACTAGATACAAGGTAGATATTACTACAGGTAATTTGACAGAGATTTCACATTCACATTAAAAACCTTTCTTAGGCCAGTGTCTTCTTTTTGTGCCAGATTATGCTCATGCCGAACTCTTTTAACACATAAACAACAAATAGCCCCTGCATTTTGTTACATTTTATTCCAGCATGCTCACCTGTTACAGTGTAGGGGACACTTGCTCTTGCAATTGGAACATACGAGGAGTGTCCTCTCCTGTAAATGGATACTGACATCACATGTTTGCCAAGAGTCATATTTGTTGTGTCAACTGAAAATGCTGCTGAAGATCGTCCAATTGTTTGGTAGTACTGACCTGAAACAGAACATGAACTTACAATGTTTTCCTCTTCAGCCTAGCTGCAAGTTGTTGTAAGAGAAGCGAGATCTCAGTTAATCTTGGACTGTCTAACTCACAATAGATAGTTTAGAACAATCTTCCAGTTATCTGGCAGGTGTTTTTGGAGGACTGAATACTTTTGCAATATATTTACTCCCATTACATCTGTGCTTTTTCAAAGATGTTGGAAGGATGTCCCAAATCTCATTAATCTAAGAAAAATTTGCCAAGGCATAGAGATCTTTCCAAACCAATTACATTATGTTAAGTCATTAGGATTACATAGTGGATGGTGTTACTCTTAGGCATTTTAAGTGATCTTGTGTTTTTATTCTTTCAGTGTAGCAAGAAGGTATAATAATACCTCTTGCTTCATACTCTAGAGCTCCTTGCTTATTTGTCTTTGCAAGAGCTGATTGAGGTAGGTAAATAGTATCAGATGTACATAAAATTTGGGACATGATTAATATTACTCATGCTGATACTAGTGATAATACTGATGTAGCAAAGCTAACTCAGGATACAAAAATTTAGTGTGTAGCCCATGTCAGGAATAGCCCAACCCTTACATACTTGGGAGCTGGAACCACTGAAAATCAGCAGCTGTGATGAGATCGGTACCACACAGTCAGTGGCAGTTTTCACCTCCTCAGAGGCAAGAAGTGTAATCTGTTAAATTTATCTGAAGATACACAGTGCTATGGTGTCTCTTAAATTCAAGAATCTGAAGTGGCAGTGGACAGTCAAGAAATCTTCTGACTGATCTGCTTGGACCCTCTGTTTTCCTAGTAAAGGATCTTGAGTACTCCTGAAAGGCAATTTTCTGCAGTGGTAGCACTGTGAATGCAGATTTAAAGAGAATCTCCTGGTAACGGTGATTTCCAGACTGAGAAGCTGATGGCCTCTTTGGAAAGTGGAGAATGAATTTGGAATCTCCACTTAAGAGCATGGAATCCTTTTTGAAGGACTTTCATGAAACACACTCGACAAAGGTGTACAGAGTGAATATAAGCTTTGCAGTGTCAGCCAAGCCAAGGGATGTGTTGCAGTACTAACCAAATGTGTGAAACACGTAGACAAAGTTCCTTCTCCTCCAACCAGGATAATAAGGGAAATGTTTCCCGTCTGGGAATACATTATGGCTGTGATTGCCTGTGCAGTTGTCCCAGCCGCAGTTGTCAATCCAGTCAGTCCAGTTGTAGACATACACTTGCTGGTCCAGGGAAGCTGTAGGATCTAAGTGTAGAAATGGGACATGTTCCCAGTCAACTGAGGAATGTGCAGGAAGTCAAGAAACAGAAGGCAGGCACCCCAGGCTACAGCAGTTCTTGCACTTAAACATTGAGTTAAATGGGATATTTTTAAACTGACATTAGGTTTTTCTCAGATTGGGCTTTGTTTGGTTTTTAACATAAACACCAAATTATTCTGGCTTGACATTCTTGTTTTACTTAGAAGCTTAAAAAAATTGTAGTGTCTCATGGGCCAGACACCATTTAAAATTTCTTACCCAGAACTTGCTGTCAACTACAAAGGATGCTACTCTTTCACTGGAATTAGAGGAGCTACCTTAATATTTGGCAAGCAGAATCTAAAATTAAAAGTAGAAATAGCAGCCATGGAAGTGACTGTTTTGTCAGAAATGTTTTCTGTGATACCTTTAAATAACTTACACATTAATTTCACTTCCTTTCTGAACAAAAAAATAGTTTCCTTCCCCAAATGGCAAAACAGATATTAAGTAGAGAATGGATATCAGCAGTCAACAAAACATGAGACAGTCAAAAAGCAGAACTTAAGCTGACAAACAAGTTGCTGATATGGCTTGAAATGAAAATTACTTTGATCAGTAAAATAAGTGTTGAACATTTATGAATTCAGAGGAAGAAATGTATAACAGCCTGTTTCATTCTAGATCCATCAGCTTCAAACATTGGAATTACGATAGGTTTTTTGCACCATGTAACAGTAAATCAGATGAAAAAAGGTAATCTGATGAAAAGATTGCTTGATTTTTAAGTTATTTTATTGTTTGTTTTTAATTCCTAAAATGTGGGAATATCAGATTTATTCTTTCTTGAGGATTTTCCAAGATGCAGATTATGGTAGTGAGTTCTACAATTCCTAACTGAAAAAAAATAATTCTAAACTTTATAAATTGACAGTTTTATCAATTCAGAAGAAAACTGTGTGACTGTGCAACTTTTTGGCTGAGCTGAAAAGCAGTAACAGTTTTGCTAGGAAGCAAAATGAACATCACTGTTTTGGGAAGGCAATTTTATAGTAAAGGCAAGTCTTGCATTACTGGGTCATTATTTATAGCAGGTGCTGGACAGTAAAAACACCCGAGTGATCTTCTGATGAAAGAAACGTGTGGCACAAGTTAGATATGAGTGTAGTTATCAGTTAAAGTCAACGTGGCTGTTTTTAGGGTGCACCCCTGATGTTTTCAGAGTTGTGCCATGTCCACACCAGCACCATAGTCAGGCCTGTGTGTAGTGCCGGGAGAGAGCTGCTACCTACCCTGGGTGCAGTTTCTGTCGTACATTATGTTGCCGTCATTATCTTCTTTCTGGCACTTGGGAAACTGGAGAGTCACAACAAAGGATACATTGGATCCTACCAGTGCTGGGCTGTCAGTGTCCAATTTGACTGTCACACGCCCGCCTGTGGAAAAGAAGATTAGTCTTCACTGCAGTACAGGATGCATCAGAGCAGCAGCTACCTTCACCTGGGCACTATTTACATTAGAAATGCTTTATTGATGCCTCTGTTTCCAAGGGAATTTGTGCTCCTAAGTCACTTTCACTTTTATCAAAACCCCAACTTGGAACAACCAGAGGGACTCATCATAACCCCTCACCGTCACTTATGGTCTGCCATTCATTTCCTTCTTAGACCTAAGAATATGCATTTTACCCATGGGGGTCAAAATATTCAAGGAGAATATTTTAGTTTCTCCCCAGGGATACAACCTTTATACCTCAGCTCAGGCCAGGTGATAATACACTGGGTCTTCACTTAAGCTGTCAAACTGAAGTCCACGATGCTCCATGGTGGTAGCAGTTGAAGCTACCTGTCCTCTAGGGCACGTTTCAAATAATGGATTGTCCTAGAGCCCTGGTCATCAATACTTATTAAGAGGTATTACTGTCTGAAACTGGGAATGAGAGCAAAGCCAGTCTTCTCTAATTTGGCATTCCTTGCAGCAGTGGAGGATATTGCACCTATAAAAAAGTACTACAGCCCCTGCACTCTTCAGTCAGGTGAATTTTCTTGCCAGTTTTCTGTGTCTTTGAAAAGTACATGTGCAATCACCTTTCCAGCAGTCATTCCATCTGGGATCTCCTTCTTCCCAGAAAGGATAAAGCTTTTCGTTCCATGTATTTTGATCACTAGACCAGCCTTGAAGCTTCTTGTAGGATGTGAGAGGGTCAGTTGTTCCATCCCTCAGCACATCTCGATACCCTAGAGAGAAAATTGAACATGTAATTTAATTGCATTTTCCCTACCACCCTTTAAAGACATTGCTCTTGTTCTGAACAGCCTTCATAGGCTGCTGACAGGCTGACTTTTTTCTATTGCAGTATTGCAATCTTTCCACAGAAAGAATAAAAAGGTTTACAACATTCTGACTGTATCAGAGCAATTGCATGAATGAAGATAAGCCTGCAACAGCCAGGCTAGTTGTGCAGAGGTAGCTTGACTGCTGCTGCTTTGTGCTTGCCTAATAATAAATCTGTGAGTAAAAAGCTAACAGGATAAATTCACTCTGTGTCTGAGTTGTGCTCTAGTGGAAGCTATGCCAGGAATTAATTTTGACCCAGTAAAGTTTCTTTGGTGAGTTGGCTGGTGGTTTGGGTGGGAAGAGTGGAAACAATTCTAACAGAAGCTGGTATTTCCAGAAAAGGAAATTTAGGAGCTGAATAGTAAATTCAATGTGTTTGTGCTGTTTAACATCTTCATAAGTGACCTGGATGTTGGGATCAAGAGCAGTCTGATGAAATTTGCTGACAACACCAAGATGAGTGGAGAAGTTGACACTCCAGAAGGCAGGACCACTCTCCAGGATGACCTGCACAGGCTGGAGGAGTGGGCCAGCAGGAACCTTATGAAGTTCAATGGTGAGAAGTGTAAGGTCTTGCACCTGGGAACACACAACCCAGGAGTGCAATTCAGACTGGGATACACCTGGCTGGAGAACAGCCCTGTGGAAAGACACCTGGAGGTCTTGATGGAGAACAGGCTCACCATGAGTGAGCAGTGTGCTGCAGCAGCAAAGAAAGCCAACAGGGTGCTGGGCTGCATCAACAAGGACATCACCAGCAGAGATAAAGAAGTCATCGTCCTGCTCTACTCAGTACTTGTCAGACCACACCTGGAGTATTGTGTTCAGTTTTGGTCCCCGGTCTACAAAAAGGATGAGGAGAGTCTGGAGAGGGTCCAGAGAAGAGCCACAAAGATGATCAGAGGACTGGATGACCTGCTACATGAGGAGAGGCTGAGAAAACTGGGCTTGTTCAGCCTTGAGAAAATAAGACTTTGAGGAGACCTTATTACAAATGTACTTAAAGGGTAGCTAGTAAAAAGGTGGAGACTCCGTATTTACAAGGAGTCACATGGAAAAGACAAGGGGTAATGGGCACAAGTTGCTCCTGGGGAGATTCCAGTGGGACATAAGAGGTAGATTTTTCACCATGAGGACAATCAAACATTGGAATAGTCTCCCAAGGGAAGTGGTAGATTCCCCCACATTGAACAGTTTTAAATCTCAGCTTTACAGGGTGCTGAGCCATTTCATATAAACTATAGTATTACCTAGAAAGGCTGGACCAGGTGATCCTTGTGGTGCCTTCCAACCTGGTATTCCATGATAATATAACAACAAAAACATATTAGCTTCATGCCTATTACTTTAAAATGGCTCAGTATGAAATAACTTTGATAACCTTTTTCTTCTCGTATTACTGCAAATGATGGGCTGAAACTTTTCACAGGCCTTCTAGGATCCCTTTCTGTCACAAAGTACACATAATGAAAAGCAAATTAAATATCCAAGTAACCTGTAGGAACATGTCGACCACTGTAGGATGCCATAAAACTATGTTTGTAAGTAGGCAAAGTTCCATTAAAGCCTGGGGGTTTTAACACCTCTTATGTTAATGAATTAACTGCTGGGCATGTCACAACATCAAGGGAGTTAGGATTTCTTCTGCATTTCGTGGCTTTGTTTTAAATGTAGCTGATGCTGAATGCTTCTGAGATTTATGCTGAAGTGCAACAAAGAGCTGGATGATTCTGAGGAAAATGCAGAGACTGTAAGAAGGGCAGGGATGGCCCTGTGTGCTGTAACATAACCGGTTGTGTTAGAATTCGTTTGAGTTTTGGAAAAGGCACAGAGCAGGTGTAGCCAGTCTGAGCACCATCTTTATGTGCATATGACTCCTCATTTTACTACAAGGGAAAACCAGAGAAACAGCAATGAAGAAGCGTCAGGAGCTGCTTTCTCTTGATGTTTGATTGCCCAGTGAGGTTGCTGCTGGGCAGGAAAGACATCCTTTGGCCTGTCCCATCTTACTGGTCACTTTGAACTGCTGCTGGTAGCTCTCCCCCCTGGCTCAAGGACTGCAAGAATACATTTTGCACTCAGAGGCATATTCTCCCATAGTCTTTCGCCCTACAGGAACTTTCCACAGTCTCACTTAAATTGTTTGACTCAAGTGTTTCCTGCAGATTTAAAATATTTTGATGTGAGCAAAGTGTAACTCCATGACTGGTATTTATTTAATGGCCTGTATCACATGCTGTATTGTTTTCAATCTTGATCAGAAGAGGAGTTGGGTAATGTCCTTCAGAAACTTATCTCATGAAAAAAACAGATTAACAACTATAAAAGTATTTCAAAAAGCCTTATCAAATTCAATTATGTTTTATGCCAAGAAAGTAATGTGTCATTTTATTTGGAAGCAAGTGGCTAGGGTTTTTTTTCTTATTTCTTTTTCCCATTCTCTTTGATTTTATCTAAAAATTATTTATTATCTTAAAATATTATCTATTATTATTAATTATCTAAAAATTAATTATTATTTTACAAGCTCAAAACATTTCAATAATTGTTTTTTCCCCAAATACTCAGTTTGTCAAAAAGAGATGGGACACTTTTAATTCTATAAATGCTTTTAATTTTGAATTTTCAATAACAATCCTTGAATTCAGAATTAATTTTCTAGTCAAGCTTTGGTAATAGCTGTGGTCATTGGTTCTACATCACAAGCTCCTTAGGCATTTCTGTGCCTCCCTGATGTGCTTTGTTTATATCAATCAAATAGAAAACATTTCACCAGCTTCAGGACAAGACAAAGACATTTTTTCAGATGAGCAAAAACTTCAGCACTAGTTTCTCTAACACATGGAATTGAAGATTTTCAGTTGCTGAATTTAAAGGAAGAAAAAGCTTTAATGTATTTCTTAACAATGAAAAACACTCAAGAATAGATGTTGGTCATAACCAAAGCAGTTCAGTTCAAAATAGAGTGATATTACACTCCAAGGAACTGATTACTGTAGTAGTTTTGATGAGGTGATCACAGAAGTAAAGATCTGATACTCTGACTTGCTTCTTTCTTATTTTGGTTTTCATTTTGGTTAGAAATGTAGCAAAGACAAGAAGTTCAACAATTCCTGTGATGGTGTGTTAGCCATGAGAGAACAAAAGCCAGTGTTAGAACATCAGCAATAAAACAATGAGCCAGCTGAAGAGGATGTAAGTGTATTAGAAGTAAAAACGCTGATGTGTATGATCAAGCTAAGAAGACAGAATATAATGTAAAGTCTCAAGTTACATGCAGAAACATTAAAAAGCAGGACAGAAAAGAATTTAAGGAACAAGCAAAAACATTAAAACTGCTGATTAATCTTTCTTTTTTTCTTTTTTTTTTTTTCCAAATACAGAAGTAGTGGAAAGCTTGCTAGAAAGTCTACGGGGCTAAAAGATGATGTAGGTACAAAATAGGTGTTCAGGGAAGGTAAAGGACAAAAGTCAAGTACATTTGTTTCCATTCACAGCGGAGGAGTGCAGGAGTTTCTGTGCTACAGTTTTTTCTCTACTACGATAGCAAATCTCAAAAATGAAGTGTTGGCACAAATAATCATTGTAGTACAAATCAACAAAATGAAGCTGTCTAGATAGGATGGCTCAAAAAGCATGGAAATAATTCAAGAGCAAAAATAAACGAGCTATTAACCATAGCATGTGACATCTTGCTTGAAACTGCTTCAGTGACCGAGAAACAAAAGCTGGCAAATGTGATGACAGTTTTTAAAAACACTTCCAGGGAAGATTTAGAGGATTACAGAAGGTTTTAAGCTCAGATTGGACAAGCTGGTAGAAACAGCCCAGAAGAACAGAATTAGCTGATACAGTGGATTAATATGATATGCTGTAAAAGGAGAGCATTCCTCACAAATATATTCAAGTTTTGCTGAGGGAGCCAGAGAGCATGGGAACAAGGCTGACCTGCTTGTCACTGTCTGCTTGAGTTCCAGACAACATTTGATCAGGTCCATTGCTAAAGGCACATAAAGGAACTAAGTTACTCTGGGATAAGAATGAAGGATTTAACATAGATAAATAATTGGTTAGGACCTATGAACTAAAAGTTAAGAATAAGAGGCCAGTTTTTCTCATTTGTTGGAATAACGTAAAATGTTAATAATTTGGAAAACAGGTACTTTCATCTGCTGAAAACAGCATCCTAAAGTAGTAGAGGTGAGGACTGTATGCGGCTCAACGACTCAAGAATAAAACTATATTAAATTCAGCATAGTTAAATGTAACTTCTTACTGAACAAGGGGCTTTACACTAGTTATTGCCACTCAAAAATGAGATCTTGTAGCTTTGCAATTTTGAATGCACTGCTCATTAGTAGCTGAAAACCTAAGAGAAGGCTAGATACAGAATGAAGATGAAAATGTCATTACAGCATTGTATGGCTCCATCTGTGTTCATGTCTTGAAGACTGTATGCTGCTCTGTTCTCTGCAGCTCAAGCAGGACATAAGAGAACTGAAAAACTACAGAGAAAGGTGGCAAAGATGCTGCTAAGTGATAGAATTGTTTCCATATGAGGAACGGCTAACTACACTGTGTCTTGAGCCTGGAGAAGAGGTGACAGAAGAGAATATAAAAACAGAATCCTTAACAGCATGGAGGAAGAAGCAATTTCTGAAAGCAGAAAAGTTAGGAGAATCAAATGAAACCAGCATGTTACAGGTTCTAAGCACATAAAGGTATTTCTTCATGTGAGGCACAGTTAAGGTGTGAAATGTCTTGCTGGCATAATATTATGTGTGCCAAAAATTTACACAGGTTGCAATCAAAACCCGAGTGCATAAACAGATGCAAGGAAAGCCCAGTAAAAACTTCAGTACAATGACTCTGCATCTGACAGAGGCAATTCTGGTGCTATAAATCACCAGAGGCCGGGAAAGTGTCCTGAGTAAATACCAGTAGACACCCAGTTATACATCCATTACTGTTTCCTCTTGGAGACAGGTACAAGGCTGGATAGATCCTCAGCTGGACCTCAGCTTTTAAGGTCTTCAATTTCATTACTGTGGATTCTGGAATTTGAGCCTAAAATCCCATTTCTGGGTTCCCAGGCCTGAGCTCAGTGAGTCAACCTAACACTCAAGTCAGGCTGGGAGCCCAGAAAGAAGCAGAGTACCAGCCCAGTGCCTGCCCACCTGCTGGTGGCTTGGGGATCTAATTCCTGGGCTTGGGCCCCCTGAGTTTGGGGATCCACAGGTCTGGGTGTCCCGGTGGGGAGCACTGCCTCTGACCTGGCCTCTCCCAGCCCCAGCTGAGCTGAGCAAATGGGGAGAAGTCTATTTTATATCTGCCTTTTTAGCCATACTCGAGCTGAGAAAATATCATTAGAAATTTGTGGAAACGAGCCAAGGCTTAGCTCCGGCCAGCTCTGTGTACCTGTGGAGCACAGGCAATACATAACTGAACAGCTCTCAGCATACTTCTCCAGCTCAGGAGATATTTCTACCTAGAGCCAGGCAGCCCTGAGGTGGAACGAGCTGTTACGTACCGGTTCCCAAGCATAGCTCCAGCAACCGCTGGGCATGCACGCAGCAGCCATTTTTACTGCACTGGCTCAGGACATGGAACCCGTGGAGGCAGGGAGAGAGGCCCGGGGAAGGAAGCACTCACGTGTGGCAGCAGCACACAGCACCGCTTGGGCCAGGAGCAGGAATCCCAGGAGGCAGCGAGCACCGCTCATGGTGCTGGAGACCCCGCGGAGCTCAGCGCACGCCGGGCAGCACAGAGCACCCAGAGCCTGCACACGGCGACTCCTCGTCCCCTCTGAGGAGGGAGAATGAAGTTTCTCCAGTGCTCTGCTCTCCAATTAAATGAAGGGCCCCAGGACTCATCATGTGATGGAATTAAGCAGAGATGCATGATTTTGTCTTCAGCTTCTTTCAGCTCATGTGCTTATGACTCACTGCCTTTGCTTTCGGCATTGCCTGGGATTTCTGAGAGACCTGTTTAGAGCCACACCATTTACCTCGCGGGCATTTTTATACTCGTTTTGCACTACGATCAATTTTTGTACTTAATTTATTTTTAAATTAGGGATGTTTATTTCCAGAAATCCAAATTAAATCTTGCTCCAGCCTGATCTGCAAGTGTTACTGCAGCAGCTCGCTGCATTTCATGGACCCAGCACTACTTAACCGTGTGTCTCTTCCACATGCTGGGCAACAACCGTAAACTAAATGGGGACCAGCCAGTTCTAACACATCCCTGGACTTGGCTCCTGATCAGTTGATTGTTAGGATAAACATTATTTAAACATTTAGTGGGCACATATGTGTACCACCTGACTGTGGTTGCACAGTATGATGTGCACATGGTTGTAAGTGTGATCACAGACTGTATGTAGTGATGGCCAGTCAATATTTAGCTCACAAGTTGCCATGACCTATACACAGAAAAGTACTTCACTGTACATACTTCCTGGTGTGTAGACATGAAGGAAAAATAGACTTTGCTGCCCAATCTAATAATGAGATATAACTGATTCTTAAGAGGACTAGGGTAATACAGGCAGATTGGCAAACACTGCATTTAGTGGTTCAAATTCAGGTTCAGCATGCTTCACCAGTGCAGGTGTTCTTCTGCAGGCAACACAGCAACTGAATTTTTTTGCAACCCTGTCGGTCTTCTGAAGTTTCTGGCATTGTTTGCAGCAAGGAACAAGCTTTGGTGAGAAAACATAGCATAGAAGCAAGTATGGTTTTTCAAGACAGCAGTTCAGCAGTGGTTTCAGTGATCCCAAAGTATGGTACTGGCAAGTGAGACACTGGCTACCTAGAAACCAGTGAGTTGAGCAACACTAAACATTTTAATTTGGGGCAGGGCAGGTGGGACTCTGTAAGTCCAAGGCACTGTAAGCAGAATGAAGAGATTGCACAATGGAAGGAGATTTTAGAACTGTTAATTATTAATTTTAAATGTTTTTTAAAATTAATTCTTAGTTTATTCCATTTTTCTAGCCTATTGTCTTAGCTGTGGCAGTTATTGTCACTACCCAGAGTGCCCCAACCAGCACTTCTCTCAGTAACACAGGCCCTGATGCCCAGTCCTGTGAATCTTGCATATGTAAACTCAGTGCTTCACCTCCTGGCTGGAGCCAACCCTCCTACCTACAGCCAGCCAAAGGAAAAGGATGAAGGCAATAGCCTTAGGGATACCAGGCTTGTTTAAACTAAGTCCTCATTATCTGGCAAAAGGGCGAGAGAGAATAAATCAAAGTCAAATCTGTGACTGACTATGCAAAAAAATCATATGACTGCAGCGTCCTCATATGATTGTTGTTTTTTTGTGTTATTAAATCAGCTACATTCCCAGTTGAAATGTCAGGTTTCAAAGCCATTCACAATTATTTTTTAATCCATGTGGGACATTAACTTTAATTGCACTCCTTTGTTTCCAGGTTATTGATCCTAGAAGTGAAAAGTGACCTTCAAATGCCGTGTTTCAGCACTGGGTGCCTGATCCAAAGTCTGCTGGGGAGAAAGGAGGTTTGAATGCTTGTTCCCAATGGGGTTTGGAGAACCTCCAGAGGAAAACTCCTGGCAACAAATGCCTGTTAATTAAAAACAAAATTTTATCAGCCTAAAAACAATAAAGTTGGTTAGAATGGAGTTTTTTACCATGTTATTTGATACATGAAATTGTTACATAAGTATTGAGTGACACTCAATAAGGGCCAGCTGCAGGAAATTATTAAGTGCATTGTAAATAGGCTTCAGGGGCACTGAGGATCAGGCCTGCAGTTAAAGGAATCCAAACCCACCAGGGCTGGGGTAATGACTAAAAGGTGGCCATACTGTGACACTCTGGTCCTTCACAGTCTCCCTCCTCAGCTCTTGGACCTTAGACTACACATGGCTGGACAGCTGACACAGAAAATGTTTGGATCCACTTGTGCTGTGGCTGCTGCTGACAGCATTAACAAGAAGAGAGAAAAGAAGAAAGCAATATGGGAAAGGAAGAAAGAGTTAGGAGGAACAGAGCTGTGAAGGAGTGAAAAGAAGAACAAAAAAGCCAAGGAAAAGTATTAGAAGTGAAGACTGAAGGGACCATCTGAAAACTGAACTGGCTTCTCCAAGTGTCCCAGCTGTAGGTGACTATGTCTAAAAATTAGTCCATCTGAAACACTCAGAGTTGCTTGAAACTGGTTGTTCATCACCAGATCTTAAATTGTCTTTAAGGATTTAACTTTTTTTTCATTATTACTAGTCTCTGAGAAAGAGTTTTGCAGTTGAAACAACTGAACTGAATTGTGCAGCTGTAAAAGGGAGAAGATTTAAAATATATCCTAAATATTCTCCCAGCAAAGAAACATTCAGGAAGATTTAGGGCTTAACCTGACAAAGAAGTGGGTGGGTAGAAAGGGCTTGGTACTTCACAGCTTTAGTGCCTCAGTTATTAAAACTCACTGAGCAGATACACATCTCTGCTACCTGAAGGCCTGTCAGATGACAGGGTGTGAGCACATCATGTGTACATACATGTCTAGACTGTGACAGACCTGGAAGGCTCATGCTGTTATCACACCACCATCACCACAACATGAGTGCAGGAATTGTTAATCACTGCCCACAGGAACTTCAAAAAAAAAAGGGAAAAAAGAAAAAAAGAAGAGAAGGGATTTGAAGAATGAACTTGACTTCTGGCCAAGCCAGCAAAGGAAAATGAGACAATCTTGTTTTGGCAGCCAGGTACTTTTAGCTAAATGCTCTTTTCCATTCCAGTGGTCTCCTGAAGGAACTCTGCTTAAGGCTGGACAAATTCCCTTTCTGAGAAGATTTCATTTGTGTCTCACTCCACATGGAGCAGTGACCATCATCTAACTGAACTGAACATGTAAACAAACCTACCTTAGCAGTCTGCAGTCTTTCTTGTTTTACAGGGGAAGAAAAGCACTCGATCAGTTTATATCACTGAAAAACAAATTAACCCTTGCAACTGGATAAGCAGGCTTTTAGTAATCCAGCATCTTAATTTTTTGCTTTTGTGGTTGCTAAAGATACATATTTTGCCATGTTTATGGGAAGTTATTTCCTTGCAGTCATACTTTTCTCTGAATTCCTGTGTTGGGGTTGATGTTTTCCAGACTTGGCACTTGACCATAGCTTATAATTCAGGAGAATTTTTTTTTTTATTACTATTTTTGGGGCTTTTTTGTGATAAAAGTAATTTTTGGCCTGATTTCCTCTGGAGGGAAGGCTCAAACAAGCACACCAGCTCTCTGCCTTTTTAGAGAACTTTCTCTGTTGGTCCCTCCCTAACTCACTGCTGTGTCACAGCCATTTGTGTGGCCGTGTGTCCCAAAATGCCTCAGGAAAACAGCTTGAGGGGAAGGTAGAGGAACCCAAGAAACTGTCTGCAGCACTTTGACATCAGCAAGTCCTTGTGAGAGCTCAGCCTTGAGATACAGATCCACCAAGTACCTCAGTCCAGTCATCCACCACAGGTGGGCTTGGCTTCTCTGCCCATAGGAGGTCTCACTAATTCATGCAGATGACAGGGACAGTCAAACCAGCAAAACCCAACCAAAAAGGTGACGTATCAAAAAGAAAATACTGAACAAGAGCATCAGAACATCTGCTGTGTACTCATTTTGGTAGGAGGACACTGAAGGAGTAGTCCCACAGCCAAAGTCTGCTCCTTTAAGGCTTTCCTAAGAAACAATATAAACTGAATGTGCTCATTTGTACCGTATTCCCTGTATATGCTCTGTTTTGCTTATTATAGCTGAGGCTAAAGGTTCAGCACAGAAACTCAGCAGTTTCATGGCCCAGGAAAATTAGCTTGACTGCTTAAGAAATAACCTCAGCACTTCCCTGAAATAGGAGTCAGAATAAATGAAAATTCTGGCAGATGAACTGTGGCATAACATGCTCTTTAATGTGTTAAGAGCAAGAATATGGGCAAAATTCTGCATTTTTTTGACTGTATTCCCACTCACTCATAGCATTAATTCAGACAGTAACCTCCTTCTTGGAGACAAGATCCCGCAGTGAATACAGAGCCAACGAAAAGGGGAGAAAAAGATTATTTATCTAGAAGCTCTGTTTAGGTAGTAACATTTATGGCATAAAAGGAAGGCCAACTCTGAGCAAGTGGAGCTGTTGTGCTCCTACTGATGTCCTGCTGTCACCCTAGGACTTAAATCCACCAGGATCCTCCTTCTGTCGATGACGGCATTGAGGAGGAACGATTTGGGGGCCTGAAGGGAGACAGAGGGAAATGGTCACGTGGGTTTTGGTTTGGGTTGGGTTTTTCCACGTTCACCTGCTGCCACTTGCAGAGCATGGTCATAGCTTGCAGGACCCATGGGTTAAGGGGTGAGGAAGAGGAGGAGCAGCCTGGCTGTGCCATAACTTGCCCGTTCCCACATCCATGCAGGCATCACCATGTGGACTCGCAGTGGGTGGCAGGATCAGGCCCTGATGTTTCAGTGCGGCGCTGACAGGGAGGTGGGGAAGGCCAGGCTGGTCAGGCAGCTGTGCAGCCCCCAGGGGTTACTGCCCCAGCCCTCCAAGGCACAGCTGGAGGGGCTCCTGCTTCCAAAAATTTTAAGAGGAACTGCTGTTTTTCTTTCACTGGTAGAAAAGTTTATTTTTAGTGCCCTGCTCCCAAATGCATTATATAATAATCTTTAACAGCTCCGATCATCTGTGGGCAGGGAAATATATCATTACATACATT